GAGAGAGAGAGAGAGAGAGAGAGAGAGAGAGAGAGAGAGAGAGAGAGAGAGTGAGAGAGAGGGGAGGGGGGAGGTGGCGGTGATAGTGAAGGACGAGACCGGTGAGGAGGGGGTCAGGATGGTCGCTCGTGGTTCGTATGCCGCCGCTGCCGCCACCACTGCTGCCGCCGTCGCCGTCGGGTGGGAAACAGGAGAACGGAATAGAAGGGATGATAACATTTGTATCATATTTAACGCTAGAACGAGCGGGTTAAGGGGTGGAAGACAGCCTCCACCCGCCCGACCACCTTCTTCCTCATCTCCTTCGGTCTTCTCTCCCGCTCTCTTGGTCACCCTTCCCCCTCCCCCCTTCCTCCTCCTCGGTCTCTCTCATAACCGCGCTCCTCCGCCGCCACTCTAGAACGCCACCTCGCACCCCCGTTTCCTCTTCCCTCCCTCACTCTCGCCACTCTCCGAGTAATATACCACTGAAATCAATACCACCACACTGCCTTCTCTATTTACCCAAGCTCATCATCCGTACACAAATTTATTGCGTGTCCCTAGCAGCTCGAAACATCCCTCTCGATATCTGGCGCGGCCAGATTGCGACTTCGTCCTAGTCCGGTTAATGTCACGCGGTCCATTTAACGCGTTCCTTCTCGGAAATCCGCCTATCTTTCTCAAAAAGTACTTATCGATTATCTCGTCCGGTTGTTTATTCTCATACCTTTCAAAAATGTTGGCCCTCAGAAAATTGAGCCAAACATCTTGCTTTTCACAGTGCAAAATTTTTCTTTTCAAATAAAAAAATCAAACCACAATTAAATAACAAATAAAAACATCTTGGTAATCTTTAAATACCTTGTGATTAACTTGGCGATATAAAAAAAAATCTATTTGTTTTAAGTCTTTTAGATGCATCCGTATTTGCTACGAAAGATATTCAAGTGCAAATGCGAAGATAGAAGTCTAAAAAAAAATGTACGTAGATTTTAAGTTTTTTAAATTACTCTGAGCTTTTCTTGCTAATCTACGATTTCAATTTTCCTTAAACCGTGCGGACAATTTTCTCCTGTGCGGCAGTCGAATGTAATTTATGCATGCGCTGGGACGTCGGATAAGATCACGTTAGGCGGCCGGTGTGGTAGTTAGCGGGGGAATTTTTTAAATACCCGCCAGAGCTGAATTACTTAAAACGGTCACGACGCGCACAGGTGGTTTCGTGCGTCCGTATATACGCGGCTCACCCGCACAAAATCTTCTCGTGCACATACGTACAAAATCGCGGTGCACACACGCGGTGCATCGATGGGACGTTATACGCTACGATAATATTGCGTCATTAGGCGGGCAATGCTACTATCGCGTGCCCTGCTTTGAGCTCGTTATGAGCCACGTTCTGAGAGCCGAGAGGACGGAGCGCGGTGGTGAAGCGGAGCGAGGCGGCGGACCTCCGCTCTTGCACCGAGTGAAAGATAACCGATAAGTAGTGTTACGAGATAAATGCCACATAAATTAGCCGTACGCGATATATACGTGCTACGGCCACATACAGTATGGATGCAAAATTGCAGGTACGGTAACGGGCTTGTTATAGATATAGCTTGGTATAAGATAAACGTATGCGATAGCCACAAATTGTTTCACGAATGAGAAATGTATACAGGTAATTGTGTAATAACACTTTCTTCCTAATTATACTTGCACGTTATCGAGTCGAATTCGGATTACAGAGCGCCAGAGATTCGACAGAATAAACCTAATCTTTTTTTAATATTTTAGTATTTAATTATCAAGCTTAATTGAGCGTAAACGTTTCGACTTGGAATCAGATTACGCATTTATGAGCTCATGTCGGTACATTGTGCGCCGGAGCTTATTGCCTCCAGGCGTTTGTACTGTTAATTTATTGTTCGAGCACAATCGGAGCATCACGTGAGCGAGGCATCGAGATTAATAATGCATCTCGGAGGGTGCGTCCGTCAGTAGGACACACGAGAATGTGGGTCGAGTTGCACGTCTACTTGGACGGGAGTCCTTGTATCAAAAGCTCGATGTACTCGATAAACTGATTGCTCGCGTGGACCATATTATCGTCTCATATGTCTTTTCGACTTTTTCAGGAGAGCGACGCTGAAAAGAGCGACCAGGACCTGGTCGTCGATGTGGCGAACGAGGTAAGAATGTCATTAAAAAAGCGTCATTTATCCATTAATTTTTGAAAAATATATATATATATATATCTATCTATCTATTTATGTAATATCACATTTATTTACACGTAATTATAATTATCTTTCATAATTATATTTTGCATGCGAGTTTTAAACTTTGCACTTGTTTAATGTCAATTAAAACTAATATTGTTGTCGGGAAAAAAAAACGACGCGAAATGATTTTGTTCCAAACTTGTATATATTATACTTTTAGAAAATAAAAATCTATTAAAAAAAAAAAATCTTATTAAAAAATCTATTTTGATGTTAAGAAACGAGAGAAAAAGTTTTTGCGGATAAAGATATATTGCCGAATTAAAGAAAGACTGGTGCTATCGCATGCTATATCTTAAGTAGGATATTGCGTGTGTTCGTTTAACGAAATCCTGATATTTGCGTATCGCGAAAGGAGGCGTCGTCGCCGCACGCGAACGGGGAGCACTCGGACCCACGTGAAAACGGCACTCTGGAGAAGCTGGGCGCACCGGGCCACGTTGGCGGACCGGTATCCGGCGCGGGCTCGGCATCCGTTAAGGACAGGCCGCCGTCGCGCAGCGGCAGCTCCTCCGCCCGTAGTACACCGTCTCTGAAAAGTAAAGATGTAAGATCTCGCGGAGAGTAAGCTTATTCGGCGCTGCGACCCGGCTCAGTCGTGACTCTGTCGCCCATACATGTACCGAAAACCCTCTCGCGGAGCGAGCTTAAAAAGTCGATCTCTTCTATTTGCGTGGTACTTATAGGGTCGTCAGACGTTTCATCTCTTTCTTCTTTACGAATTCTTACTCACTTATGTATTTATTTTCAAGGACAGAACGGTGACCAAGAGGCAAGTAGTATAACAAAACTGTGTGATTGTTGAAATAAAAGCATCTTCAATCGAGCGCAATTCGTTGTACATATTCAAGTGATGCCGTTTTCTGTGAAAGTGAAATTCTTTAAAATCTTTTTGAAAACCACGATTTTTTTATAATCAAAGAAGGGGAAAATGAATTGATTCTAAAGAATCGAGTTAAATTAAATCCATTATTATTAATACTGTATATTAAATAGATACTGTTTTACATACAAAGTTGGAAATGTATGTGCTCGTAACGTGTAAAGTTCTAAATAATCAGAGAAGCGCGACCGGCACGGACTATGGGCGCATTCAATAACCAGTACCACAATCGCTCACTGAGCGCTCACTGAGCAGTTGTAGTACTTGAATGCACCCTATGAAATTCTCCAATCATCCATTTGGCAGTCATTTGTAATGAATTTGTTTCATAATTCATCATTATATGATCAATTATATATTATTATTTTATCCTTTATTACTTAACATTCAGTAAATAACAAGGATAAAATAAGTGGGGATCGCTTGAAAATTTTAAACACAGTCTTCCAAATAAACACGGAAGTCATAATATCATAAGAACGTTACCATGACTTTACTTATCACTTGTAAGTTTATTTTTTAAGTATCAAATTACGTCATGATGATGTTCCATGATATCATTATGATTTAAATTATGACTGTGTTTTATCTGAGTTATCCTACTCGCTGAGCGATTGAACGTAAAGACCAAAACACAGACTTTTGTATAACGCATGATGCATAAAAGAATTGACCAATCAAAGTCTTTCTATGAAATGAAAGATTGATGAATCAATCAGAATCAGACGAATCGAGTCTGATCTTAATTGATTGGATCTATAGATAGAAATCAATCATATTCAATTGTTTGGCATTTAAATTATCTCCTTGATGCAAACCGGAAAAAATCGATTAAACATCAATGAATCCAATAATCGGCTGGCAATTCGATTTTTTATTGTGAGAAGGATATCGACTCTCATTGAAGAATCGAACAAGAATTTGGCATCTGGGCACGTATTATAAAATTATTCGAGACTGGATCCGACCGGATTTATTCAATTATTCCCTAGATTTCTATTGTGTTATTTTCTAGGGAAAAACGAAATAACTCCGATCGGAATCCATTTCGAACATTTCCATAATACGTGTCCTGAGTACAGTGCAATTTCTGCTCGACGCAGGCTCTTGCGTTTGACGGCCCTAATCATATCGTAACATTTCCGCGACAACACGGTACTTTTTTTTTTATTTACCCGATCGATCGTCTCGAGGCAGCGGCTCTCTGCCGCCGCGTGCGAAACGAAACGAAAAGGAAAGATATCGCGGCTGACATGGTCAGCAAATTTGCAATCGGCATGGTCGAGAGCTTAGTACGATTGCGACACAGTGAGCGTCTGCAAAAGTGGGTGCAAACACCGTGCGTTCGCCAGGTCGACAAGCCGGGTACACCTGTGGCGGCGGCGAGGGGCTCGCGCAGTTGTACGCCAACTATGGGCGGCATCCCTGGATCCTTGGCGCGGGTCTATCATCCGCCATCGTCGCAGCAAACGCCACCGCAGGGTTATCAGGGCTTGCCATCCCGCGGCAATGAGCCGCCGCAGTCGCCCTCGCCATACAGCAACTTGCCATACGCGCGGCCCTCCATGGTGATTCACGACCCCGTAACACCTTAGTCCTTACGTTACCACGCTTTCATTAATTAATTAATATAGTTTTATATGCGACTGAAAAAAAAAAGTACAAATTGATTTTGATGACCGCAACCGTTTATACTACTATTAATTTCTTTCAACCCTAGAAGGACTTCTATAAGCGTTCTCTTTGATTGTCTTCATGAGTACTGTAAAGCTATCTAAATCAAATCTGATGAAATCTAACTTAGTCTATATTATCGAATGATAGAAAGGTCAAACTGGCAGAGGTCCTCTTAGGGTTAAAACGCGATCAATCTCGTGTAAGAATCATCCAAATCGACGATGACCGTTTCCTAAGGCCATTTATTTCTTATTTTTGTGCTATAAACAAACGCGCCTTTATTTTTTTTTCTCATCTCTGTGCGTCACAATATTGAGCGATCATCTCTTCCGCAGATCGGTTTCGACGGTCACATGAGGATACCCGCGAGTAACGGATTGAACAACATCGCAGGTGGCAAACCGTACGTAATTATAATTTACGTGAAAAAAAATCGTCTTGAATCTTTTTAACAAGGAAATCTTGTAAAATGTCAAATTCTAATTTTAATGAAACTTTGTATACATATAAATTACATATAAATAGAATTTAGAAAATATTAATTGTGATTTTAAAGGATGAAATCATCTCTTATATAAAGTAAAAGGCAATAAAATGAGCGATTTAAAAAATTATTTTTTTTTTAATTATTAATATAGAATATTTTTTGATATCTTGAAAAGTTCTTGATATGTAACGAAAAAAGTTGAAAACTCTTTAGTTTAATAGAACATATTTCAATTTTTCTACAATCAATTATTGCATAGAAATTGTATTTCAAAATTAATATTATATAATTTTAAAGATTCAAAATATTCAAATTTTCTGGAAAACTTTTTGTTGCGAGTTATCATAGTAAATTATAGCGAGGATTGATTTCATCTCTTAAAATCATTTATTAGTCGCAACTGATATTTTCTATAAATTCATCTATTTATGTATACGTTTCATTAAGTTTCATTAAAATCAAAATTTGACATTTTGCGAAGTTCCCTTGTAAGTTACTTCTCCCCGGCATTGTCCCTCGCGATAAAAGCGTTAAACACTTGCGTTTATTTCGCGCAGGGCGTACTCCTACCATATGAACGGCGAGGGCCAATTGCAGCCTGTACCATTCCCCACGGACGCTCTGGTAGGACCGGGTATCCCGCGTCACGCACGTCAGATTAACACCCTGACACACGGCGAAGTGGTTTGTGCCGTTACGATCTCGAATCCGACCAAGTATGTCTACACCGGCGGCAAAGGTTGCGTCAAGGTCTGGGATATCGGCCAAAGTGTCGGCAGCGCCAGCGTGAAACCAGTTTCGCAGCTGGACTGTTTGCAACGTGACAATTACATTAGGTGAGAGCTCTGAGTGATTGATATCTCACTGTTAAAACATTTCGTTGATCTTTAGATACTTTCGTGAAAAGAACGTGCACGATTTGATCTCGTAAAGTAGGTAGCGAATAAAGTCACACATTTCTTCTGGTAGTGACTAATAATTTTATTTTAAAGAAAAAGAGACTGTTGTTTGGAGTTATTACAGCACATAAATTTTCAATGTAAAGGGTTTCTAAGTGTGCTGCGAAATTTTAAAGAAACTAAAAAGAGGCAAAAAATTTAGAAATAAATAAAAAGCGAAATAAATAAAACGCGCGAAGTAAAAAATCTTTTAAAACTGACAAAAATTATCTTAATTATATTGTGTTTACTTTCATTTTTAACCAAAGCAGTATCGTCTCATTATCGTCAATATCATTTTTTAAAAATAAAATATAAAAATAGAAACTTCTGAAACTTTAGAACTTCTGTTTATTTCTAAATGTTGCGTTGGCGATGTCTAATAAAAGACCTATGCTGAGCGTTGAAATATGTGCTAATGATGTACCTGGATAAATTTGGCTCGTTATTTAGTGTACTACGAAGAAGGTTGATAAACGCTGATATAGATTAAAGTACTATATTTATTAAAATAAAATTTCTTAACAATAAAACTAATTAAGTGGAAGACATTCGGCGAAATCGGTGTGTTTTAACCTTCCAGATCCGTGAAACTTCTACCTGACGGGAGGACCTTGATAGTAGGCGGAGAGGCCAGTCAACTGAGCATTTGGGACCTAGCTAGTCCCACGCCCAGAATTAAAGCAGAATTAACTTCGTCGGCGCCTGCGTGTTACGCCCTGGCGATCTCGCCGGACTCGAAAGTCTGCTTTAGCTGCTGTAGCGACGGCAATATCGCCGTGTGGGATTTGCAGAATCAGTCGTTGGTCAGGCAATTTCAAGGTCACACGGATGGCGCGTCCTGCATCGACATCTCGGCTGATGGATCAAAATTGTGGACCGGCGGTCTCGACAATACCGTGCGCTCCTGGGACCTTCGCGAAGGTAGACAACTGCAGCAGCACGATTTCACCTCGCAGATATTCTCTCTCGGTTACTGCCCCACCGGGGAGTGGCTGGCCGTCGGAATGGAGAACTCGAACGTCGAGGTACTTCATGCTACCAAATCCGACAAATACCAGCTGCATCTGCACGACTCCTGCGTGCTCTCGCTGCGTTTCGCTTCCTGCGGCAAGTGGTTCGTCTCGACTGGCAAGGACAATCTGCTGAATGCGTGGCGTACGCCATACGGTGCTTCAATATTTCAGGCAAGTATTTAAATGCAGACACTAACTTGACGGGATAATTTATATTCTTTGCCTCAATTTTTTGTGTTCGCTTGGCATCCAGCCACAACCTAAAACTTAGCATTCATGTAAAACGGGATGTATATTGGATATATGCATCTATATGTATATTGAATTTGGGCTAAACTATGTCTTTTCTATTTCTTGTATTTTATTATTTTTTAAAAAATTTGTTGAATTCAATTTGGTTAAAAGTAAACAAATTTTTAAGAGAGAGAACTTTTTGAAAATGACAAATTAATATATACAAAATTGAATAGTGACGTTTTCGTAAGTTTTATTTTTGCCAATATTTTTGTTAAAATTTTGCAGTCCAAGGAGTCGTCGTCGGTGCTGAGCTGCGACATTTCCGCAGACGACAAGTACATTGTGACCGGATCCGGCGACAAGAAGGCCACTGTATACGAAGTGATTTACTAAGCCTATTCCTAATAAAGAGACTTGCCTTTCCTTCTTTAATAACATTAAAATCATGAACTTTGTTAATGTGTATTCTATCCTTTCGCGAGGAAGGAAGGCGCGAAGAGATCCCGAAAATAGGGAAACTCTCGGCGGCCTTAGAGCCAGTGTGGCTGATAAATGTGTACATATACGCATACGCGAAATTGTATTGTAACGAAATTACAAATAGAAGAATGAAAAATCGATGTGTGTGCGCGCGTGTTTATGAATGAGCGGGATCAGCGATGTATATTAATCTTGCATGTGCGCGTCCCGATTTCGCGAGTGCGTGTCCCGATTCTCCGCCGATTTACAGTACATACGCGTAATATCTGCGCGCGGACGGGACTTCTATTTGTCACGTGTATACAACGAGCGTACGCATTGACGATGGAACGGCGTTCCATCCAACCGGAGCGGTTCGCATACGCACTAAAGTAAACGAGAAGAGCCTTCGCAAACGGTGATGTTAGATATACAAGGTGATTCTTGATTGCACGCCGATATCATCGGAAAACAAGTTTAAGAGTCTAGAACAAGGCAAAAATGCTAAACGAGCTTTCGTTATTTAGCTTTTAGTTTTCCTGAATGATGATAAATTTAAAAAAAATATATCTGCAAGCATTTACGCTATATGGCTCGATTTATTATCAGGGTTGATAAAGTCACATTTTAAACATGTCACATTTCAAACTATTTAAAATATGTTTAATCGACATGTTTTAACATGTTTTTTTATAATACTATTTAAAACACATGAATGAAGCATTAAAAAATGTTTAAAAAAAATGTTTTGTTCTTAAAAAAAAAACATTATTTTTTGTCAATCTTGTTTATTATCTTTCCAAAACACTATATAAAGTATTTCTTCATTAAGTACTTTACAAGTGAGACTTAAAAATCAATAGGGTAACCCATTATCTTAAAACAATTAAGTTTGAGATGAAGAAAAGATAAACTTGAGGACATCATCATCTTTTTTATTTCGAACTTTATTGCTTAATCTTACCAAAACCAAGGTCATCCTCTTTCCTTTTAACAACTGAGTAACTTTTATTTGAAATATTGTTGTCTTAAACTTAAAAATTTTTAAATATCCTGATGTGTAATTGCAAAATAAAGTTGTATATTACGAATTTTTTTAGAAATATCACAGCGAAAAGTGTGCATTTTCTCTAATTCTATACTTTTTTTTAAATTCTAGATCTCTAAAATATCAACGAACAATTTAGATTCACCTTATATATGATCTTGTAGTTACGTAAATGTAGGGTTATAACGCGCCTAAAGTGGATGGCTGATAAAGTGGTATGATATCATCAAGATTAGCCTGGCCTACTCACCCAAAAATCGCATTAATTACGCTTTTTAGTAAACAGATATGTGATCGACAGACATCATTTTGAATTTCTGCGACCGCTGTATCTTCAAACGAATCATATTTCCTTCCTATTACCCTCCAGTATAAAGGTGCAAAGAAGTTTAATGCCTGTTTTCATTTTAATGTAGATTAACCTTAATTTTCAGAACTAGAGAAAGATGAAAAGTAAGTTGAACCGATATTAAAGTTGATCTAATTTGATGGAAACGAACACAAGAGATATTTAAGTGGCATTTAAAAGTGTAAAAGTGTAGAACATTTTCTTGTTTCTGCGTTCTTATGACATTTTTTTAGAGGCTTGATTGACGCAGATTTTTATTATTGAAATATTCGTTATTGACGTAAAAAGCTAATTCGTTATAAATAATCGCGTAAATCTTTAGATTCTTAATTTAGTTCGATAATTTCTAATTTTATGAAGAAAAATTATGCTGTATTGAATAGTGATTTGCCGAGCGAGACGATGGCACGTTGCGCGGGCTTCGAGTCATCTCCTGATTCTGTCGATGTCAGTATCAGTGTCACGATGCCTGTCGCTGTTTATACAGTTCTCGCGGTATGAAACTAGTTTATGAACGAATACCTTTTTGCATCGTAAATATAGTACGATACTTACGTGTAATCGAATTTCTACGTGATATAGCGCGTATGCGTGACGACGAATGGTAAATACGAATCCCTGTACAGAATCCTTGTACATATTCGACGATTGTGATTAACAATTATAATAAGATGCACGGTGTACGTCGATATACGGCGTGCACCCGAACTCTTTAAGGCCGTGTTTCAGTATACATTGCTGATACTGAAAATCTATAGTATACATAACGAATGAACTATAGATTTTCAGTATTGGCAGTGTATATCGGAACATGGCCTATAAATATACCTATGTAAAGTACAATCCCCCGTGCACAATCGAAACAAAACTATTTCTCTACTTTAATTAGGTGATACACGCGGAGATCAATAGAAGCGGTCAACTTTGTCGCGACGTTTAATATTAAGTTAAAAATATCGACTAATTATTCTTTAATAAATCAACGTTATGTAGAATTGAGACCACGATGTCTTTATGTTAAAAAAAAAATAATAATTAATCTATGATAATTGAGACGCTTAGTCCAATTGTAAAGCATAATAAAAAACAGTTTTGTAAAACTTTATACCTTCGATTGATCTTCGCCCGAAAATTAGCCGAATGAAATTCTCGACAGAAAGACGAGCGCGAATTGTAATGCATTATCGAAATGAGTAATTTCGTAAAATTATACGGTCCTTTATGTTTTTGACGTATATTAAAACCGAATAAACTTTGAGAAGAAATAGATGGTTACTTTATTTGAGCTTAGTCGCGATGAAAATGATTCTTGCGATTCTCGTCTTGCTGGCGAACACAATAAAACTGAAAGATTTGATTAATGCATTATATGTAGAGAAAGTTACGTCATGTAATTAATGATGACGTATCCACAAATTTCTTGAGAAAATAAATAAGAATCTATTCCATTTTTCCCGTCGCATTTTTAGCAATAATAACATATGACAAATTTTAATACTATGATTTTCTTTGTTATCTCGCATCGAGTTAGATTTTCCCAATATTCTCTCTCTCTCTCTCTCTCTCTCTCTCTCTCTCTCTCTCTCTCTCTCTCTCTCTCTCAGTGTGTGACAAAGGAATAAATTTGTTTTTCGCAATTTTACGCGCTTTCTTGGAACGTACGTCGGAATTCGTATGACAAATCCAGTCACTCGGCTTCTCATGCGATAGAATATAAACAACAATTTACATGGCCATTTTGATAAGTCAATGATTTTTTAAAAGATTATTAAAAAAATAAATCGAATTTTAGTAAAAAAAGAAGTAAAAAATTCAATCAATTAATTCAAACTGCGTATGTAATTAGAGATTATCACAAGTGAAATATTATATTTTTTATTGAGACATAGATGCGATTGCTGTTTTTATTATTTTTTTTTTAATAAATGTTATGAATCGGTATTCATAGTCAATTCTTATTTTAAGACCATTTTAGGTATAATCTTAAAATGTCATAAATCAATTATACTGAGCCATATAACATCTTAAGATCTTAAGTAATGTCTTAAGATACTAATAAAGCTCCAGTTTATCACAGAGAAGAGTGTACTTACAACGGTCTTAAATACAAGAATAGTTATGTACTCCCATAATACACAAAATAATAATGCAACTGTACTTAAAAAACGGAGAAAAGAGAGAAAGTACACGAGAAAGTATACATTCACTATCACTAATATTGCAGCCAAATAATTTATTGTTAATAATTGCAAGATGTCTATACCTTAAAGAATAGGAGATTCGAAAGAAGGAAAAAGTAAGTACAAGACATTACAAGTTCGCTTTCGATAATTTTCGATGTATTTACATTTTACGTGTAATCCGTGTGTACAAGATCGTTAAAAACATTAAATGTTTATACTCGCATTATGATAATCTATCCATGTATTTACATGTTCTTCCGTGTGTACAAGATCGTTAAAAACATTAATGTTTACAGATTTATTTTCCTCTTTTTTTACCTTCTTTTTTTCTCGCAGACTGCATCGCATGCCCCATATTCGCGCTCTCTCGTTCTCTCTTTTTCTCGTTGGATTATCTTTTTTTTTAATATTCTCTGTCGTATCGCCATTACTTATATACAAGTAAAAAAATTCTAATAACGTTAATATCGTTACGCGCCAGAGATTATACGTATCCATTCTTCATACAAATCGTTCACATGAACATTTAGATACACTCTGGGTTTCTCTTTTTTTTATCCGATCAGCGATACGATTTCGCACTAGTACTTTCGAGATAAAATCAAGATCG